CTGCCGGCGCTGAGCATTTCTTCAAAAACGTCATTTTGACTCCAAATTTCTTCCTTTTTGTTTTTTTTTTGCTTTAAGCCCTAAAAATCAACATCCTGCAAGAAAATATAAAAATACCTTCCATTAAAGTGCAATATCACAAAAAATGAGTATAAAATATGAGTCTAAAAATGCATATATTTTCGGTGCATCAGTAATTGCCCCTTTTTTGTTAAAAAAAACCTATCCATGACCCCCTAACCATCTCCACTTTTGACTTGTAGGAGTGTATAACAACATATGAGCTTTAAGTTAGTACGATTTAGTAAATTGTGTAAATCTAGATTTAGTAAATCTTGAAAGAGATAAATACCAGAAGCTGCTTGACAACTTACTTAGTAAATCATGTTAAATCACGTGAAACAATTTGACAATTTCTATGAGGAATTAATAATATGTTATGATCTTTAAACCTTAACAACAAATCATAGTAAGATGTAATAAATCATTTAAATTTAACTTTTTAAAACATTCCCAAATAGTAAAAATTTGTTGGCTTCTTATGTTCAATTAACGTTTTCTTTCAAATTATAATAACTAATAATTATATATTCACTAATCTAATTAGTTATTAAATAAAGGTTTAACATTTATAAAAGAATAATTAATTATTTATGAATAATATTAACTAATAATTACTTATAAATTTATTGAAGGAATAAGAAATTACTATTTATCTTTAATTAATTAAGAATTAATTGATAAAGATAAATCTATTTAATTATAATTATTGTGATAATATTTTAATTAGTTATTAATTTTTTATCAATTAAACTAATTAAATTAACTTAAATAAAATCTTTGCTTACATCAATCCTTTCTCCCCGAAACCTTTGGATTTCCCTCCGCCTCACTCTCTATTTCGTTTAAGGATCTGTTTGGGGCAGCTGCAGCTTATCCAGCTTATCCAGCTTATCCAGATAACCATGTTATCTGAATAAGCTGCTGATCAACAGCTAATCCGGATAAGCTAGCTGGATGTTTAGTTTGTGCGTTTAAAATGTGGTTGATTGACAACTGTTTCTGGATAAATGACCATTATGCCAATATGCACTTCTTTCAAGCACACAATACAAGAGAAAGCCTAGAAAGTCACGCTACAAAATTGTTCTGAATTTGTTTTTTTCAGACGATTCCAACAAGTTTTAATTCATTTTACTTATTTAGACAAGTATAAGACAACCCACTGTTTCATAAAGTTAGCTTTAAGGAGAATTTTGTGACCAAAGATATAAAAGATTTTCATTTAGTTTTTATATTTCTTATCATGTAAATGTCTAGATGGAATCCCTTTATACATTTTTTTTAGTTGAATGCAAGTGCAATAATTAAAAAAAAAGTCTAGTAGTAAAGGACTCTGATGGCTCCGGTTCAAGCATTGCACAACCTCCATCTTCCTCCTCCATTTTTCTCTTAGATTTGCCTCCTGAGAGCTCCTCCCTCCTCAATCTCAAGCTTGCCGAGACGGTTTTCAGCTACGGAGGACGGAATCACAACGATTTCTAGAGCGTATGGGCTGGAGAAAGTGAAGTATGCACTTGAACGTGCGGTCGAGCCAATGCGACATCTTTCACGCCAGAGACAAGATGAGAGAGATGAACGCGAGAGACACCTAGAGTAGAGGAGATGATATGAGGGCAGGCAAACTCGAGAGGGCACAAGATGAGGGCAACCTCGTAAAATAATTTCTCCGAATGTCGACCGTAGGGACGAACCACATTTAATACAAAAGTTTTACGTCTTATTGCCAAACGCAGTCATGACGCTGAAATCAAACGCCTCGAGCTGTGTTTTCAAAACCTACCACAACAAATAAGTTGCGCCAAACAAACCCTAAAATCATCTCATTCGTGACTGAACCCTAAGCTAGGAACGCAACAGCGGGTAACTTCACATCTTCTGTTTTGCGCAAAGCGTTTGTCCTGGATGTACTAAATCCACCAATTAACATGATTTAGTAAATCTGGAATATAAGACCGAAATTCGTGAAATCTAAAGTTTATCAAAACCGAGGCTTTATTTTGTCCATAATGACTGACTGGCAAGACTTAGGGGCTATTTGGTAACCGGTTTAAAACAGGATTAATACAGGATTTATGCTAAATCATGATAAATGGCAAAAAAGACATACGTAAATCTTACACATTCTTAGATCTCTTTTTTTCCTTCGTTTCTTCTTAAATTCGGGATTTATCAAATCCCACAGAAGCAGAATTTACGAGATTTTAGAGAAATTTGTGGTGTGGGAAGAGTGAGATTTGGTAAATCCTATTAAAATTATCAAATATTTTTTTCCCAATTTATTAGAATTTAATTCTTATTATACAAAACAGTTTTTGAAATTTAAACCCTTTAAAATTTTATAAATTCAAATTTACTTGATTTAATAAGTCATATTCAAACTACATCCTGCGTGGAACCGAACAGCCCAACTTAAATCCCTGTTCTAAATCCCTCAGCAGATAGGCAAGTTAATTCACACAAGCCCTAACCCCCACCCTCTTCCGCCCCCGCTGTTCGCCGTCAGCGATCGCAACGGCCGCTACTTCCGCCTCTGTTACGTGGAACTCATGACGTCGATGTCGGTCGCTGTCGCTTCATTTTCCTATTTTTGTCCAAGACTTTCTTCCAGGTGGGAGCACACTCTAAGCAGTTACTGGTTTCTAGCTTTCCTTGAAAACCTAATCTAAGTCCTCCATTCAGTAATGTTCTTCAGGAACCTCGTCAAGGGCCCCTCTACAGTCTTCGAGAATGGTGGCGGTAAAGTTCACCACTTTCGTGGCTACTACATCTGTTCCAATTTCAATTTCAATTTCAATCCATATATAATATATATATAATACAAACTAATTTATGTATCGTTAATGGGAAATTTACATACCTAGCACACAAGTCTTATGTATTCGTTTATCTCACACCTAAATATTTATATGGATGGATCGAGAGCCAGAGGGAATGCTGCAAGTGTTAGCATTTTGCCAATGTAGAAAGAAGATCGGATGAATAGTTAAAAGATTTGAGGAACTTATAATTACTGCACTTGTTTATTTTTAAATCCCACTTTATGGTCTTTCAAGATGGTGTAGATGATATGCTCTGTCCAAATGTTGTTGCATTAGGGTAAACGATGGGCTGAATTCAAAGGGGAACTCTCATTCTTTCAGAATCGGTTTCATCCCTTTTTTTGGATAAAATACTATAAGTTTTAAGTATTTAACGTGTAAAGCATTTAAGGTCACATGCCTGCATTAACATATACGAAGATTTTGCACAATTTGGAAATGTCTTAATAAAATGAGCAATCGGAGAGACTAGGAGATAAGTGACATTCTTTGTTGGATTGCAGGACTTTGTCCATGTGTTGTGATAACATGATGATTATTGCTCTACCGCCACGGTGTTATACAAGCTTAGTTTGTAATCTGTTTTTACCTTTTAATTTTATTTATGCTAATAGCTCTATCCTTGGTTTGGGTAGATGACCTGCTTTAGTGTGCTGTCATTATTCTTAATTGGAGCATATTATCACCTTGTAGCTTTTATGATTTATTAAATGGTAAAAGTGGCATATGTTTTTATTAATGTTTTTCGTATTCCGTTTATCTGCTGTATGTCATATTCTTAGAACCTGGTCATTTTTCCTTTTTTGTTAGGTTGGCTAGAAAAGTTGTTTTTAGCACTACTAGTTTTTGTTGTTTTTCAAATTACATCATGACATTTCAAAATAAATGGATATTTATTGTGTAAAGCTTAATTGTACTATCTAAAACAGCATGCAATTAAATACAAGCTGATGAAATTTTCTCAAAGCGTTATTCTAAGTAATAATTTTGCAATGCATATTCCCAAGTTGCATTGCCCTTGCGTTGAGTTTTGATTATAGTGCAATTTGTTGAACTGCATCTAGGAAAGTTTGGTGGGTTGCATTGCTCGTGCATCAAGCTGAATGAACAGGTTTACAATTGCAGAACAAGGTACAGTCTTTTCTTTATTTTTGTTGCACACTATTAGTTGTTGTCATCAATAGTGTATGGTTTCCATGGAATGGTGCATAGCCATTGATTCGCCAACTTGCAGTATTGCTTAATTAATAATGCTCACTAGTAATTTCAGGCCTCAGCTAGATTTTTTTTTGTTCATTGCATGTTCTTGTATCTATACTTGTTGTGAAGGAAACATGAGGAATTTGATTTTCGAAAGAATGAAAAAAAATTCTTTGTTTGTTATATACGATGCATTTGCTTACTGTTCACCTGTCAACCAAGTAGTTGTTGACTATGATCAGACATACCCTCTATAAGAGTAAAAGCCTAAAACTGCCCCTTAACTGTTAAGAGGTGTCCAATTTAGTCTCAAAGTTCTAGAATGTTTCAATTTAGTCCCATACTATTAAAAGTTCTTAATTGGTCTTAATCATATTTTTTATTAAATTTAACGACATTGAAGGTTAGTTTTGCCTTTTATGTAATTATTCAAAATTTATTTGGTTTGTATATTGACCTCTTTTTTATTTATTGTTGAAAAATTATAATTTTTAATTTACATTAATAAGTCTCTACATATTAGTCGTCACCTCTTTTCAAATGAAAATTTTTAAAATAATCAATATATGTCATAATAGCTCACTCATTCTGAAGTTATATGAATTACCCGATTTCAATTTAATTTTTTATTTTAATATTATTTATTTGTGAATGTGTTTTAAAATAGTTAAAGTTAACTTGAAAAACTTATGAATGAATTTATTTTGGATTTAAAACATTATATATGTGAATGATAAAATTATTTGATTGATGAAAACCATAAGTACGCGGCACACACACACACACATAAGGATGTGTATATATATATATATATATATATATATAACACACAAATATATATTCAAATTGATATAAGTACGCGGCACACACACACACACATAAGGATGTGTATATATATATATATATATATATATATAACACACAAATATATATTCAAATTGATATAAGTACGCGGCACACACACACACACATAAGGATGTGTATATATATATATATATATATATATATAACACACAAATATATATTCAAATTGATATAAGTACGCGGCACACACACACACACATAAGGATGTGTATATATATATATATATATATATATATAACACACAAATATATATTCAAATTGATATAAGTACGCGGCACACACACACACACATAAGGATGTGTATATATATATATATATATATATATATAACACACAAATATATATTCAAATTGATATAAGTACGCGGCACACACACACACACATAAGGATGTGTATATATATATATATATATATATATATAACACACAAATATATATTCAAATTGATATAAGTACGCGGCACACACACACACACACATAAGGATGTGTATTCAAATAGAGATTCAACTAAAAAAATTATTTGAAAAAGTGACAGACATTCTGAAGAGATTTATTAATTTAAATTAAAAATTATAATTTTTCTATACCAAATAAAAAGTGATTAGTATTCCTACCACATAAATTTTGAATAATTTACTTAAAAGACGAAAATACCCTTCAATTTATGCAGACCACTATTAAATTTAACGGAAAATATGATTTTGGACCAATTTGGAGTAACTTTTAATATTTAGGGACTAAATTGGACTATTCTAAAACTTCGGGACTAAATTGGACATTTCTTAATAGTCAGGGGACTAATTTGCACTTTTACTCCTTTTTGTAATTACTCTATGGTAAATATCTCAATCATGTAGCCAACATATTTGCTATGCTAATGTGTTTCTAAAATAAGACAAAAGTGAGTATCACCATGATGCGGACGAGGAAATAACGCTGCAGGCGTGGCCACGGGCTTCTTCCGCTATTTCTTTCGTCGGTTCAGACCCGAGAGGGTCGATCAACTCTCCCACAAGGGATTGTTGTCTCCTTTCCATAAGGGGATCTAATCCTATTTATCTAAGGCTTATATATGTCATTCCTGTTTTTATGTTTGCAGTTTTTGGCTTAGACTTCTTTCAAGACAGCCGTCGAAGTACGGTGTTCCCTTTCTAGGGCTGTATCCGAAGGTGAGAATGTGCTCCAACTGTAACTCATCGGGCGTGGTGACCTTCTCCAAAGGTTTAAGTGGCGCTTCAGCTGTAACTTGATTTCACAGAGATATTTATCCTTACTCAACTCCCCACATCTCTCCCGTTTCGCTATCTCACATATCTCTTCGCTGTCGCCATCCAAAACCACAAGAAACTGCTATTCCTGCCTGCTCCAACCATCCAATCACTCCAAGTCCTACCCACTAAGTCCTGCCCATCCCGACTATTCATAACCACTGTTGCTGCTATTTTAGTACTCTCTACTTGCTGTCACCTCCTAGAATGACACAGAGTCGCTGCTATTCTACTGTCCAAGCCCTCCACCCTTACAACCGCCACCTTCCTCATATTGTCATCATCCAGGACAACCATTCCCCGTCAATCACGTTCTTCGAAAAATGTCATGACAATGGCAAAATGCAACAGATGCATATAAATGCAGATAAAGCATATGAGACATACATGAAAGAGGGATCTCTCATCTGACAAAAGGGGCAGATTAGGCAAACAAGATGCATGAATGTAGAAACTCGTTTTATCGCCATAGGGAGGGTATTATGGCATCATGGAAACACTGATATAGGACGATCTCTAAGATTTAGGAATAAAAGGAAGTGATGCTTTGGTGTCGACACGCAGTACGCTAACCTTTTTTTATCTCTTAAATAGGAGGTGGATTGTGTTGACAACCTATATGCTTAATGCAATCTAAACCTTAGCTAGTGACAGGACTCAAATGCTATTCTACATGCCTCACATAGGTGGCTTGCAAAAGGTGAAAACACCAAAAAATAAGCTTATGCCTGGTCATGTTGAGAGGTGACATGAACAGCGTAAGCTCTGCCAATCAGCTGGACAAAGCAGATTTGCTACCCATAAGGAAGGTTGTAACAATTGTTTGAGTGAAAATCTCTAGGTTAGCAATCTATAATGATAGGAGACCCGCTCGTTTGAAACCATCGAACTTGGCCTAAAGACATGACTTAAAGCAAAAAGGGTCGCCAGCATATGGAATGGTGTACCAATGACCAAAAGAAAAATATCAGATCTTCTTGGCTTGTAAATCCAAAAAAACTGATTGAAGAGCACCCCATATTTATTGCATTACATGCAAAGCGGTGCTTCAACTACATTACTCTAGAAAAGGACAAGCATAGTGCCATAGACCAACACCATAACCTATGAGACGAATGTGGTGTTGTGATGCTATCAATAGAGACTGTGACAATAGACCATAAAACAGTGACTAACGCTGCGGTGCCCAAACTGGCATCGCCGCCATAACACCAACATAAGCAAAATCCACTCGGGGCCACAATGTTGAGAACATTGTTGTGGCCCGGTCCTGCGGTTTTGATATCGCGGCGTTGCACATTAACGCCTTGTTGCTATATTGAAACCTATTACGATGGCCTTGCAACAATGTAGAGGCAAATGCTATGCGGCTACCGACAAGAGGTGAGACAATGTTTACACACTAAGAATCGCCGCTAACACATCAATCAAACCCAAAAAAATGGAAAGGTATTGTGATGTCTAAAAGAAATTTCACCTCGGTTCCTGGCTATGCTAAGGCCCTGACTTTAAGTGAGACACTCAAGAACAAGGCTAAGTTGGGGAGAATGCAGGAGTCTAGCTTAAGATTTCTCTAACAACAACTTAGCCTAATTTATCTAACACGATAACCTAGGCTCTCTAACAAAAAGAACATGCAAGGGTTGAAGGATTTTTACCTACGCAAAGGCTGATGATGACCCAATATTCAATCACTCCTTAGAATGCCTTGTAAGAGCCCCTCCGACGATCAAGATCACCACGACTTCAAAATCCTTCCACTCTTGGAGGAATGGAGATGTGGAAGGAAACTCATACACTCTGAGAGAAGGAGACCCTTATAGCTCAAAGAGGCATCTCGATTAAAAGATCTCAACCTTAGGGATTATGTTCTAAGTGGAAGGGAAGAAGAGACCTCACACACACTCAAAGGAGGGGAATTCTTTCTTTCAATGGCTGGAGGCTTCAACAAACCACAGATCCAACCCCAGGGGAAGTCCAAGGCTGCCCCTTTTATAGGGCTCAATGTCAGCATGGAATTTCAGCTTTGCGGATGTGGCAGACGCCATGTTGACCGATCTAACAGAGTTTACGACTCAAGTCCCGACGTGTGTTAGTGGGCATTGCGATGCTGCCTTTGGCATTGTGGTGCTCAAGGCCAGTTGCCACCTGAGCAGTCGTGATGACGATTGTATAGTCAGGAGCCGCTCTGGGGACTGATGTTGTTTGACATAGTAGCGCTGACATAGGTGTCACGACATTGCTGACTTGGCTAGAAATCTCAATGATGTATGTCCAATCGGAGCCTCCTAAGGACATGCATGGTAAGGGCACTACGATGCCCTACAAGGTGCTGCGACGCCGATGACATGGCACCATGCCACGTCATCCTTCACCTCTGGAGTTGAACAATAACAAAAATAGTGGTCTTGGTATCGGAGTGCTCCAGATGACGTCTAAACTACGAGCTGAGCTTCCTGGTCATCTTATCCTGTCAACTAGGTGGTCCTATGTCACAATTTTATAGGAAAAGAAATGAGTAAAAGATACATGATTTCGATAACCAAAGTTTCATTTTTCTCCATTAATATTTCAAAAACAAAAGAACATATTTGGACATCTTCCTTACAAAAGGAAAGATACATATAGTGAAAATGTATGAAATAAGTGGAGCTCATTTACAATTTACAAAAAAAAAAAAAAATAAGGTTTACTGTAGTGTTTGTACATCTTATAGACTCATTCTAGAAGTAAATGACTGACATCAAAACTTTGTGGTGTAAAAATTGCCTTCCGTGCTTTCTCAAACTACGTACCACTT